AAAAAGACCGGTTTTTTCACTATAAAAAGTGTAAAAAATGTGAGTTTTTTGGTACATTCTTTGGACAGTTTTCAGTGAATTTTAACCCAACAACTCTTTTTAAAAATTCTTTTTGTATATATAGTTTTGTAGAGCTCAATTAGCTCTATCGAACCATATAAAAATATCCAACAAAAAAATTTGAATCCATTTTTCAATTACTGACACTTTACTTTTCCACCCCAAAAAAGTATAAAATTTCTGAAAATTTATTTAAGTCGACATTAAAAGGTTGTCATAATCCTCATCATTTAGTACTAATAAACCCCATTTTTCACAGGCTTTCATTTGGTATAAAATTCATCATATCTTCTATTTGCAATTATAGCGGTACCCCCCTTGAATAATATTATTTCCCACCCTGTGCATATATTTTATTCTGATTAAATGATCTAATTATAAAAGTTTCAAAATCAACTATATTCTAACTTATTTCATAAACTAGAAAGAAACTCTTTATAATACAAGGTCAAGCTAGTTTGCTAACGATAGATTTAATAAAAATAATTATAATTGTTTCAATATTTCCCAATAACATTTCAAATCAAATGTTTCATCATCAGATTCTTTTTATCGTTCTGGTTTCTGGAAATCTCATGATAGATGTGGATGAAGAAAAACTCATCTTTTGAGAACTTTATAAGTTTTGATAGCCAAATGTTTTTCTTAATGATCTTTTTAACAATATGGAAAAGTATACTTGATCCGTATCCTATACTTAATCACCTATTGTCATGTTCGAATCATAGATTACACCAATCAATGAAAATCGAACTTTCTTCGAAAGTAGATTAGTATTCGAAGATAAAATAGAATTTAAAAGCTTCGTTTGTTGTATTGATTCAAGAAATAAATTAAGACAAATTTGTTGTATAAAACATATATGATAGACTGGATAGATTTCAGAGGTTTTCCTTCGTCGTTTAAATGTACAACAACAATACTCATTGTGAACGAATCTACCTGTGTTTCTCTCTGCTCAACATATGATCATGTATGTGAACATCATTTTAGAAATCTGCATATAATGTAGAATTTGATAAAAAAAGAAAAGTAATGACAACACTCACATATATTTTTCACTAAGTTATTCAGGAAGTAAACGAACCATTGTACTGTTAAATATCAACGTCTAAATCTAATGATTTCAATAGGCTGAAAAGTTTAGATGAAACCTTAGACTCTTAAACAATTTACTGAGTTCAGAGTACACCCAATGCAGGTACTTTAAAAATTCCAACCATGTTTCACTGCCTGGGATATTTTTTTAAGTATTTGCATCAGTATAGATACTGAAGAAATTATAGTAGTGTCCGAATTTTCTATTTTAGTAATTCAAGGTACTCAACATAGAGAAAACATATTAATACATTATTGGAAACTATTGATTCATAAATATGCATGCTCAATTCCAGAATTTTGGACTGTATCATTTTGAATTTTTTTTATTTTAAAATGATGCTGGCTGAGGTAACATTTTGTATATTGCATCGACTACAGTTGTCTTTTCAGTCATGTAGTTCCATCCTCATCTATCTAGAAAACAGTCACTAAGTTGTGAAGTCATTCATTTCTTGGTATAAAAAGAAAGAAATTTTAATAAATTCATCGATAGTAATTATTCCAGCTATTATCAGTGAGAAAAGTGTAAATATTAGTGCATTTTATCTTTATCTACAGCTACACCGATTTTAATCCTTTCCAATATTTATCAAATGTTTTAATTTATCCAAATAATATGATCGTACACAAGATGATCACGTAAATGTTTTAAAGTCTTACGAAAATTTTTAATATTGCAATTGGCGTAAGTTATTGAATCCAGATAACCAAGAAAAATAATTAAAATAAAGATTTCTTGAGAAATGTTGAATTTTGAAATTCTAATTAACCGTTGATTATGAACTTTTTCTAAATTCATTTCTTCCTACTTAGTTTGCATAGGATTCAATCTATTCGTGTATTACAAATAATGAAATCTAAAGACAATTATATGTTGTTTAATAATGCTATTTCTGTGTTTCAATTAAAAAAGCCCTAACGAACTTGCATGATGATAAGAGCAATTTACTTGGATGGTAACAGATCAGTTAATATCTTTTACATAAACAATAATGGCAAACATGCTCAGGTCAGCATCAATCCATAATATTTCTTATTGATCATTTTCCTGTTCTAAACTTGAAAAGAACAGAATGCAAAGAATGATTGAAACAAAGAAAGGATTTAAAATAAGAACATAGAAGGAAATAACAAGTATTACCCAACATTCAGAAAACAAGCACTTGGTTTTTCAATATCTAGGGTACGTAAATATAATTTTGTTCAAAAATTTGTTAGAAAGTTAGAAATTAGAAGTGTAACGACTCGTTATACTCTAGAAAAATCCATTCACTGAATTCTAGTGGAAAATCCTTGGACTCATCTGTCGAAATCATCGATTAGGAGATATAGCAATCTTGTGGAAACTTTCTTAAATATTTTCTATGAAAAGGAGTGTGGCTATAGGTGTTAGTGCGATGGAAAAAAACGCTCACACCAATACCTTCAATGAGAGAAATCCAAGATATCATACAGATAAATCAAGAAAAGTGATCAAAGTTTATTGATCGATAAATAATAATTCAAAAGTTCACGATTGAGAAAGAAAAGTAACAAAATTAGTCACTATTGAAAATGATTTCTACGACAATAAAATCATCTTTGAATCGAGAAATTGTTTCTTGAAATAACTTTTCAATATCAAAAATTCCAATGTTCATCATCACTTTGCAAATCCATAGCTGTTTCAATCATTTGTTCGATTTCATGGTCTGTTCCACCCAATTCATTAATCAATTGATTTAAAGCTTGACTACGTGTTTCTAATTCTCTATCTAAGAGTTTGTTGCGTTCAGTAATTAAACTTTCAATTTCTTTAATAGAATTTTCTGTTGCCACTTGAAGATCTTGTCTTAATTTCTGTTTTTCTTCAAGACTTCGCGTATTTAACATTTTAGCAAGACTTGCAAGTGTATTCATCAGATATTAACTGGAAACCTCGTAATAAGTTCGTGATAAAACAAAGTATTTATAAGATTCACTGTGAATACTAAATGTTCCATCTTTCAATTGATTAATTAATTTTAATCGATGATGACGTTTCATAATTTCTTCAATCGAAGCAGAATCAAGAAAACTTTGTAATGAATGACGAATCAAATTCTTGATTTGTTCCGATAGAGTGCTGAAGAAAATGACGAATTTATGCCATTTTTGCTGCAATTTTGAACGAAGATCACCTGCTTCTTCGAGGATCTCGATGATTTTTCCATAATCAATATTTGTAATATCGAGTTGAAGAATTTTGCTGTTTGTTTCTCGAATCTCTTCCAATGTTTTTGTTAGATCATCAGCATATTTATCTTGACGTTTTCTCATTTCAGCCAAGTGTTTTTGAGCAATACGAGCTTTCAATACTTCGTTTCTCTTAGAACTTGCATCTAAATCTTCTTGAGTACGACGCTGTGTGTTGATTGAATCGATTGGATCCGATAATTGACTTGTAGTTTGATATGGACGCATCCGTTTCGATATGTCTCGAATTTCTTCTAAGACTTCTTCTTCAACTTGATAATTTGGTTGTTGTTCTTTACTGTTTTCCATTGCTCTTTTTAAAATATTTCCACTACGTTGTATCAATTGTAGAACATTATTCTTTGCAGCATTCTCGCCTAGTCCACTGATATGTTCTCGAAATAACTTGAAAACAACCGCTAAACTATCCATTGCTGTAACATTTCCACCTGAACTCTCTGCTACTTGTTCAAATTGAGCCAATGAATTAGAAAATCGACCAGCCATATCAATTGTATGTTGATAAGCAAAGGAAGATCGATCATCAGCATTTTCAGTTGGACTTTCATCGATCGATCGTTTTTCCATGGCATTCATCGGCATAGCGGGATATCCTGACGTCATTGAAGACATTAGCAGTGGTGCGATTCCTGGCATCATTGAATTTCCTTTACCAAATGTTAACAAGGACGTGGCACTTTTAGCAACAGTATGAGCTACTTTCGAAAGTTCACGAAGAAATTCCTTTGCAAGAGCTTCCCATCCAGTTGGAATTTCTTTCAACGCTTTGTCATAATTTACTTCGGCACGATTGGCTGTTTCACTGGCTTCTTGGTAAAGCTTAGAACGACGTTCTTCTTCAGTGTTCAGAGCTTCTTGTTCTTTTTGTAGAATTGTTAATCGTTTCTTACGCTCTCTTATAATTCGTCCATGTTCAGATTCTCGTACTATAATCGTTCGAATGACTTCTTCGATTAACATTTTTAATTGAAACAATGCCACATTGGTCGCATTCGTTGCAGATACACATTCGTCACCAATCAGTTTGATATTCTTTAAAGTCAATGGAAGTACGCGTTTGAGAACTGAAGCAGAATAATCGGACGATAAAAATTCTAAAACTGTTTTGATATGCTTGGGAATTTGTACCATTTTTAATGAAACCACATTCATAGTTTTATGAGCAGTCAAAAATGCATTATAACCATCTAAAACAAATCTCTTCATGATCGTGTTAACACTGATGAAACTTACCAAAGGAGATTTGTAAGAGTGTTGCTGGAAGAGATTCGGGATTTTTTTACGTAGTCGAATTTTGTTGTATTAGGAAATGATTGTAGAGAGATATCTTCGACACTGGATACAACAAGTAATTGACCAAGTAATTGAATAGCACCGGGTGCGACCAGCATACATTCTTGCCAAACTTCTCGAATTGATGGATCTTATTTGATTGGATCTACTTTCATTATTGCTAGGGCTGATGTTGTTGTCGTTGTCACTGCTAAAATCAAGACCTCCAAGTAAATATCAAATTCGACTTGGAAAATAAGTCGGAATATCAAGCTAACTCTTGTGAATAGGGATGCAGCAATATCGGTCTTGTCACTTTGGGTGTGAGTGTGGCTGTGGGCGTGGGTGTGGGTGGATGTGGGTGTGGATGTGGGTGTGGGTGGGTGTGGGTGTAGGTGTGGGTGTGGCTATGGCTGTGGCTGTGGGTGTAAATCAATACATCGCTAACCTCCGCAACCCTTATTCCACACCCACACCCCGTTTTCTCTTTCTTGATCGTGAGCGGTTCAAACATTGATATCTTATTAACGAATGTGTAAACAAAGAAAAGTAGAATGAAATCTACGAGATAATTTTGGGTCGGGGGGAAATAAACCAAAATTTTAGTAGAGAAAAATGAAAAATTTGCTTTTCTGACCGCGTTCTTTTCTATCGGTCCTGAGCCGTTCAAATGTTCATATCTTATCAACAAATGTGTAAGCAAAGAAATGCGGAAAGAAATCTGAGAGAAACTTTGATGTGTGCGGGCCCTAAAATTAAAATGTTAATAAAATGAAAAATTCATTTTGCTGACCGCGTTTTTCGTTTATTGATGCTGAGCGCTTCAAATGTTGATATGTTAACAACAAATGTGTAAGCAAAGGAATGTGGTAAGAAATCTGAGAGAAACTTTTAGGTTCGGGACCCTAAAAATTAAAATTTCCAAAAAGAAAATGAAAAATTCGATTTTTCGTACCGTGTTTTGATCTTCAGTGTTTCGTAGGTGGATATCTTATTAAGAAATGTGTAAACAATGAAATATAGAAAGAAATCTTAGAGAAACTTTGAGATGTGGAGTGGAAAAGTTAAAAGTTTAATAAAAAAAATGAAAAATATTATAGAAAATCGAGCTGATGTCATAATCGAAACATCAATTTAAATAACATCGTTGGTCTATATATGGAAGGACGTTTTAAATTCTAAAAGAATTTATTTTAAAATACATAATCACTATGTACGTTTTACTTTACTATTCTATACAGAGAACGTTTCATATGATACTATACAAAAATTAATTCAAATTAAAAATAGTTAATCATTGACGGTTATTGGAAACATATACACTTCTTAATTAGTCAGAGTCTATCACAGAATAGTACTTTTATTTTTCTCTTTATTAATTGTGAACATAGACATATTAACAAAAACAAAACAAAAAAACATATTGAATCAGTTTTTAATTTGGTATATATAGAAATGTTGTAATGCATTCATCGAGTTACATATATATTAGAAATTTAAACTTAAAAAGTTATTATTTTGATGATTTGATTTGTTTTGAATCTGGGAGAAAGAAAACATCCTCTTTTTTAGAAATAATTATTTTAAATCTATGACAAATATATTCTATAGTATATAAATTAATGGTACAACCTAAAGAACAAATTTTTATCAATGAAAAACTCAATCGTGGATTTTTACTTATCGGTACATTCGCAATAATCTATGGGAAAATGTTTGATCATATTTAATTAATAAAAAAATTCATTTTAGAGTTTATTCGACTATTTATTTTCACATTATCATCGTTATTTAACATTTTCATTAGAAATATGAATTGAACTTTATGTTTTTTGATTAATAATGAATAAAAATAATTTCTTGTTGTATTTAAATATGAATTAATAGATTTATTTATTCACATATTTTCTCAAAAATTTTCACACTATAATGATTCAAATAATATGAGTATCCTCATAGATTATTTACATAATATCATTCTAAATAATCGTTTATGTAGATATAGTATACTTCGACAAGTAAATCAATGATATATACAGGAATATGTGTTTATTGAACGTTACTTTTAATAGGTCAAAAAAAAAAGAAAGCGTTTTACATATCCATTTATTACTTTAAAGTTATGAAAATGATTTAAATAAACCCTTAACGAACAATAATAAAGTATTGTAGAAAAAAATAACAGAATAAAATATAGTATTGATATATGTTTATGTTTTTTTTTAATTTAATTTTATTTAATTTTAAAAAATAATTGTTTAAACTTGTGACTTATTCAAGATAATATATGCATCATTTATAAATAAAAATTTAACGGAAAAAGTCTATATGAATTTGTCTCGAAAGATTTTTATTTATTGGTTAGTATCCTAAAAAAATGAGATGTATATACACTGTTCAGATAAATATTCAATAATGATATAGATAAATCATGATGATTAAATATTAATCATCTTGTTTTAATACCATTTAGAACTATTTATAAGATTTAAAAGAACCAAATAAGAACATAAATTAATTAAATAATGAACATGTCAATGAAGGAACAAGAAATTGTTGATAATTGGTCGATAACATAGTCATCAAATTAGATTTTTATTGAACTTATTCAAACATTAGAATCTGAGTGTGGGTGGATAAGAATATAGATCTATCTCTGCTCATGATTTACATATACATCCATATACAACTCCGATACAACTAGTAAAATGAGATTGATCAAGAAATAGGTAAGTATTAGGAGTTGAAGAGTAATGAACAACAGTATAAAGCTATTTACATCAATCTAAACATTAATTTCCATTATTTATTCCATATAATATATTATATTCATAAGAATATTTCAAATAATTGAACGAATAATGAATAATTTAAATGAAATTTCCGGATAAGTCTTTCCAATTTATTCAATAGAATTTGTCAGAGTATTATTATGATAAAGTAAAAGTTACTTTAATGAATAGATGCGTTTAAAAAATCATTACATATATAATATAGCGTAGACAAGTAAAGAATTGTATTGATGGTTACGAAAAACAAAAACAACTAAAAATATATATCGATGAATGTTTTAGATGTTAACATGCGAATTATATATGACATATGCATATGTCAATCAACTGTTGATAGCTGATAATCGCTGGTATATCCAAAAAAAAATCTATCAATTAAATATTTGAATAATTCTATAAATCGAACAATATTCTTATCATAAGATATTAGTAGATTGAAATGTTCTAAATAAGCCTAGAGCAAAAGGATTTATCTTATTAGAATTCAAATCGACGACTTTCGCATAAAAAAAAATGGTAAAGCCATCGACACGTTAGAAGACCCCCCTATAATAGAGGACCCCCCCATAATAGAAGACCCCCCTTGAATAAACGACGCAAAAGACAGATTAGAAGA